GTCCAGTCATGTCTGACTCTGGGGTGTGGTGCTCATCTCCATTTCTAAGCCGAAGAGCCAGCGTTGTCCGTAGACACCTCCAAGGTCATGTGGCCAGCATGACTGCATGGAGCGCCGTTACCTTCCTGCTGGAGCGGTACCTATTGATCTACTCACATTTGCATGTTTTTGAACTGCTAGGTTGGCAGAAGCTAGGGCTGACAGCGGAAGCTCACGCCGCTCCCCGGAATCGAACCTGCGACCTTTCGATCAACAAGCTCAGCAACTCAGTGCTTTAACCCACTGCGCCACCGGGGGCACAACTCTTAGGATCCCATAATTACTATTAATTCTACAACGTAGATGCAACTGAGAATTGATGGTCCATAGGGTGATCCTGTCTATTACACCATTTAGCAAAAATTTGGGGAAAAATCTGTTTTGTTCCTGCTTTGAAAGTGTGATTTCCTGTTTAATTGTGTGGTACGTACTTTGAAAGTAGTTGTTATTCTCCAGAAACTATGTTTTTGGGGCTGCCACAAACAATGTTGAATTCACCAAGGTCCCTATAGCAGACACCATCACATTCATCAACTGGGATTTATTTATTTATTTATTTATTTATTTATTATTAACTTTATTTGTACCCCGCTAGCATCTCCCGAAGGACTCGATGCGGCTTACAAAGGCCAAGGCCTCAATACACAACATAACAATACAAAACCTAAAGCAAATTAAAAACAATTAAAGCAATATTAAACAATAAACAATAAACAATACACCAAAACGCAATAAAACTGGGTCGGGCCAGAGTAATGGGTACAGAATTAAAAGTGCTGATGGGACAGGTGATATGTAAGGATTATAGGGTAAGTGCAGTGTGCAGTGTGCGGCAATCTTAGTTCTAATAAAGTGCTTCTGGGACTTGGTATTGGAGATTTCCTATTCTGGGAAGGCACATCGGAACAGCCAGGTCTTCAAGTTCTTTCTAAAGACTGCCAAAGTAGGGGCCTGTCTAAGATCTTTGGGGAGTGTGTTCCAGAGTCGGGGGGCCACCACAGAAAAGGCCCTGTCTCGTGTCCCCACCAAACGCGCTTGTGATGCAGGCGGGATCACGAGCAGGGCCTCTCCAGATGACCGCAGTGAACGCATGGGTTCGTAGACGGAGATGCGGTCACGCAGATAGGATGGTCCCAAACCGTTCAGGGCTTTGTAGGTAAGCACCTGCACCTTAAATTGGGCTCTGAAAATAAACAGCAGCCAGTGGAGCTCCTTGAACAGAAGGGTTGACCTCTCTCTGTAAGGAGCACCAGTTAACATCCTGGCCGCTGCCCGTTGGACCAGTTGGAATTTCCGAGCCGTTTTCAAGGGCAGCCCCACGTAGAGCGCATTACAGTAGTCCAATCTAGAGGTGACCAAGGCATGGACCACCCCGGCCAGATCAGCCTTCGCGAGGTTCGCAGTTGGCGCACGAGTCTCAATTGTGCAAAAGCCCTCCCGGACACCGCTGACGCCTGAGCCTCAAGCATAAGCGATGAATCCAAGAGGACTCCCAAACTGCAGACCTGTGGCTTCAGGGGGAGTGTAACCCCGTCCAACACAGGTTGCCACCCTATACCCCGGTCAGGTTTACAATCGACCAGGGGGACCTCTGTCTTGTCGGGATTGATCTTCAGCTTGTTCCTCCTCATCCAGATAGACACAGCGGCCAGGCACTCGTCCAGGACCCGGGAAGCCTCCTTGGAATTGGGTGGAAAAGAGTAATAGAGTTGTGTGTCATCTGCATAGAGGTGGTACCTAACTCCAAAACTCCGGAGTTAGGTGTCTTCTGTTTCCCAGAAGACATCACTGCCGTGTTTCAACATTGCCTCACTACAAGTTACTTCCAATGGAACAATGAGTTCTATGAACAGAAAGATAGAGTAGCCATGGGGAGTCTTCACCGCCCCCTCACAGCAAATTTTTACATGGATCACTTTGAGAAACAAGCCCTGGAAACAGCACCAAAAAAGCCCACTATATGGTTCAGATATCTATCTATCTATCTATCTATCTATCTATCTATCTATCTATCTATCTATCTATTTACAACATTTATATGCCGCCCTTCTCACCCTGAAGGGGACTCAGAGTGGCTTACAATATATATATGACGGTAATGTTATAGCCTGACGATAATAAATATATATAAATATAAATATAAATATATAAATATTTAAAATTAAAATTAAAATGTAATGTTCGTTTGTGGGATTAACATAACTCAAAAACCATTGGATGAATTGACACCAAATTTGGACACGATACATCTCTCAGGCCAATGAATGACCATCACTCATAAAAACACTGAAAAACACAGCAGAAGAGACTTTAAAAAACAAAAATACATTACAATGCATGCGCAAAACCACATATATATACTCAAACACACATAAACACAAATATATATATATACACACACACGCACATACACACACAAAACTCATATACACAGACTGGGTCACAGCAACGCATGGCAGGGGACGGCTTGTATAAATAAAAAATGTATGTTTGTTTGTGGGAATAACATAACTCAAAAACCACTGGACGAATTGACACCAAATTTGGACACAATAAACCCATCTGGTCAACGAGTGAGATCATCACTCATAAAAACACTGAAAAACACAGCAGAAGAGACTTAAAAAGCCACAAAAAATCATTACAACGCATGGCAAAACCACATATATATGCAAACACACATATACACAAATATATACACACACAAAGCACATATTCACAGACTGGGCCACAGCAATGCGTGGCAGGGGATGGCTATATATATATGACGTCAAAGGCAGGATAGGTGCATGATTTATAGTTTTCTCCTTCCTGAAACATGCGCTCCCTAAATAGTTTGCCTTTATATACAGCGATATATACAAACATCAGGATCCCTTTATTTCCCATCAGTCATGCAGAGATATACTCAGGAGAAAGGTATCAGGAGCAGATGTGACGGCGTGAGTGGTTTCACCTATATGTAGAACTATAAGTTGCAGGATTTGTATCATGCCTGATTTTGCCTTTTTACCCTGTAAATGTATAGTTGGATTGATTGGTTATTTATAGCTGTCAATCAATGTTGTTTACACCAGTTGAATTGCTTCTCCTGCTCAATTGTTTGACCCACCTCTTCCTAGAGAGCAGGACAGTGTTTCCTTTTTCATTCCACCATCAAACTTTCTATCAGATGGATGTGAGAGAGAGACTTGGCTCTGAAGCCCTTGATTAAGTTACCTCTCAGCACCAATTCTGAGGTTCTTATCTTGAGACTTATGCTTCATGTTCAGATCAACCTGGACGATGTTGAGAAGTCTCAAGCGCCTTCAAACCAGTTCTTTGGCACCAGAGGAAGGCTTTGTGCCTTCAAAATATAGGCCATTGGAATTGGGGTTGTGATTATTCTGATATTCACAGCCACTGAGAAAGAGGGACCTGGAAAACCTTCTCAGCCGCAAAACTCCTTGGACCCAAGACAACCAGAGACTGTAATGTATATTTCCTTTACCCCCTTTGAAACTTCCAGCTTATTGCCTTAAAGGAATAACTCTTTGTGAACAATAAAACCTATTTTGAGTTATTTACCGTGTTTTGGTCCTTGGGAGTTCCAGGAGGGCAAGAAGCAATCCCCTGGGGAAAAGATGTCATGTCCATGCCTCTTTCACTAAGAGTTATAGCCCCCAGGCGCGACGGCACAGCAGATGTACAGTGAGAAGCAAGAGAATCATGGCAAGGGAAGAAACACACTGATGCCCTCTTTTATACCCACTGCTTGCTTTTCACCATACAGGTACAAAAGTGAATGATACAACTCTGTCACATGCCTATCACATAGCCATGACTCAGTTTCTTTGCATGTCCCTTCCATTCCACATCACCACCCACTTAACTCTTTATTAGGTGTGTAACCACATTTCCATTAGAATAGTATTTTCCAACTGGTTTTGCACAATAGGGTTACAGCCAATGTACACCTGTCTAACAGGACATTATCTATCTAACATAAGGTGTGTCGTCGTCGTCGTCGCCATCATCATCATCATCATCATCATCATCTCTATCCCACCTTTCTCCCCATAGTGACTCAAGATGGCAAACAAATGAACACCAATTTTGCATTTAGATTTGGGTCTCATCGCCAAAAAATCTCTTCATGTATGCATATACAAATACAGATATTCAGTCCCCCCCAACATACAAAAATCTTCTTGTCCCAAGCATTCTGTCTCAGGCACTTGAATATGTGAATGTTTTAATATATGCTTTCATGGTTGCATTCTAAATATATTATAATAGGAATGTTGTGTGGTTTTCGGGCTGTATGGCTGGGTTCTAGTAGCATTATAGCCTTCGGGCTGAGAACAGCGGTATAGAAGTAAAGTAAATAAATAAATATTTTAATATGTTGTGCCCCACCTTTTGCTGAAAGGAGAGGCAGGTCATAACTTAAAAAGAACATTATTATGATTTTTATGATTATTACTGTATATAGCAAACACAAAAGAGCAAGGAATATTGCTTCTCCCAACAGCGCCACTCTACTGCGCCAAGTTTCACACATGTTTGCATTTTAGAACATGATGTTGCATTGCAGCACCATAATTCACACTAACTGTGCTACAATTTCCCTTTTACTGCCAGGCTTCCATTCTATGGAATCCTAAGATTTGTAATTTGTAAATTCTTTAGATTTTTTTTTCCAAGTCAGGAGTGACTTGAGAAACTGCAAGTCGTTTCTGGCGTGAGAGAATTGGCCGTCTGCAAGGACGTTGCCCAGGGGATGCCCAGATGTGTTGATGTTTTACCATCCTTGTGGGAGGCTTCTATCATATTCCCACATGGGGAGCTGGAGCTGACAGAGGGAACTCATCTACGCTCTCCCTGAATTTGAATCTGTGACCTGTCAGTCTTCAGTCCTGCTGGCACAAGGGTTTAACCCATCGCACTACCAGTAAACAGGTAGTAAGAGAGAGGCTTACCTGGTGTTGTCTGAGTCAATGGTATGGAAAAGCTTCTCGAGTTCTTCCTCATTAAGTGTCCCATCTGAAAAAAAGGCCTGGAATTCCTCCAAGGACAGCTTCCCGTCATCTGTAAAGCAACAAAATTGCAAAAAGAAAGAAGGAAAAAAGAAAAATTACATATAGACCTAATGTCAATGTGGAAAAGGAAATTTCTGCTGTACAATAAGTTATTGGTTACTGGTTTGCAGAAAGAAATTGAGCAAGGATGAGAACATAGTGGCAATATATATATGTGTGTGTGTGTATGTGCGCACGTGTGTGTATAGATAGATAGATAGATAGATAGATAGATAGATAGATAGATAGATAGATAGATAGATAGATAGATTTAATGTTCATCTGTGGGATTAACAGAGCTCAAAAACCACTAGACGAATTGCCGCCAAATTTGGCCACAAGACACCTACTAACCCTAGGAGTGACCATCACTAAAAAAAATTGCTTTTGTCATTTGAGAGTTGTAGTTGCTGGGATTTATAGTTCACCTACAATCAAAGAGCATTCTGAACTCCACCAATGATAGAATTGAACCCAATGTGGCACACAGGACTCCCAAGACCAACAGAAAACAGTAGAAGGGTTTGGTGGGCATTGACCTTGAGTTTGGGAGTTGTAGTTCACCTACATCCATAGAGCACTGTGGACTCAAACAATGATGGATCTGGGCATTCCATATGCCCAAATATGAATACAGATGGAGTTTGGGGGAAATAGACTTTAACATTTGGGAGTTGTAGTTGTCCGGATGCCCGACCACTGTCTCCCAAAGCAGTTGCTCTACTCCGAACTCAAGAATGGAAACGAGAATGTTGGTGGGCAGGAAAAGAGATTGAAAGATGGGCTCAAAGCCAACTTTAAAATCTCTGGCATAGACACTGAGAACTGGAAAGCCCCTGCCCTTGAGTGCTCCAGCTGGAGGTCAGCTGTGACCAGCAGTGCTGTAGAATTTGAAGAGGCACAAATGGAGGCACAAATGGAGAGAAATATGCTAAGAGGATCGTATGTCAAGCCAACATGATATATAAATAAACTCCGCTGGACCGGCCACGTTGTCCAGATACCCAACCACCATCTCCCAAAGCAGTTGCTTTACTCCGAACTTAAGAATGGAAAACGGAATGTTAGTGTGCAGGAAAAGAGATTGAAACATGGGCTCAAAGCCAACCTTAAAAACCCTGGCATAGACACTGAGAACTGGGAAGCCCCAGCCCTTGAGCACTCCAGCTGTAGGTCAGCTGTGACCAGCAGTGCTGTAGAATTTGAAGAGGCACAAATGGAGGGCCAAGAGGAAGGTGTGTCAAGCCAACCCTGACTGGAACTGCCTTCCACCTGGAAACCAATGCCCTCAATGTGGGAGAAGATGCAGGTCAAGAATAGGGCTCCACTGTCACTTCTGCATTCCCCACATGCTTCCCCGCTGGAATGAAGTACTTCAGCATTCCCCACATGCTTCCCCTGCTGGAATGCTTTGCTGGAGTCTTCTTTATGGCCTCAAAAATTAGTTAATTTAGCCTCCACAAACTTTAATGTGATACCTAATTTTCCTACTTGACAACTGTCTTTCGGGTTGCAAAGGTCAACAACAGGCTACACACAATTGGTTGGAAACCCACTCCAACCCAGGCTATGAGGGATCACCTAAGTAAGTAAGTAAGTATCTCTCTCTCTAAAAAAAAGACCTAAAGTGGAAAGTGTGACATTCCCTTTCATGGCGCTCTTGTCCCAGATCCATTGAACATACTTTTCTTTCTTAATGTTGCCTTTGGTTGAAAGAAAACATAATCAATATAAGCTCTCAACATCTCCATGCATAAAAATCATTCACGCTCCCATTGATCGTCCCAAGCAAGCCGCTCCATTGACGACAAGAAAACCTTCCAAACCATTTACAGGAGGGTTTCTCAACCTTCCTAATGCCATGACCCCTTAATAGAGTTCCTCATGTTGTGGTGACCCCCAACCATAAATTATTTTTGCTATATAAATTATATATAAATTATATAATATATATTATAGTTGCTGGGATTTATAGTTCACATACAAAGTGCATTCAGAACTCCACCAACGATGGAATTGAACCAAATTGGAACACAGAACTCCCATGACGAACATGGGAGTGGGCATTGACCTTGAGTTTTGGAGTTGTAGTTCACCTACATCCAGAGAGCACCGTAAACTCAAGCAATGATGGGTCTGGACCAAACTTTGCACAAATACTCAATATGTCCAAATGTGAATACTGGTAAGTTTGGGGAAAATAGACCTCGCCATTTGGGAGTTGTAGTTGCAGGGATTTATAGTTCACTTATAATCAAAGAGCATTCTGAACCCCACCACTTGGCACACAGAACTCTCATGACTAACAGAAAATATTGGAAGGGTTTGGTGGGCATTGACCTTGAGTTTGGGAGTTGTAGTCCACCTACATCCAGAGAGCACTGTTGACTCAAACCATGATGGATTTGGACCAAACTTGGCATGAATACTCAATATGCCCAAATGTGAACACTGGTGGAGTTTGGGGAAAATAGACCTTGACATTTGGGAGTTGTAGTTGCTGGGATTTATAGTTAACCTACAATCAAAGAGCATTCTGAACTCCACCAACAATGGAATTGAACCAAACTTGGCACATAGAACTCCCATGACCAACATAAAATATTGGAAGCTTTTGGTGTGCATTGACCTTGAGTTTTGGAGTTGTAGTTCACCTATATCCAGAGAGCACCGTGAACTCAAACAATGTTGGCTCTGGACCAAACCTGGCGTGAATACTCAATATGCCCAAATGTGAACACTGATGGAGTTTGGGGGGAAACAGACCCTGACATTTGGGAGTTGTAGTTGATGGGATTTATAGTTCACCTACAATCAAAGAGCATTCTGACCTCCGCCAACAATGTAATCAAACAAAACTTGGCACATAGAACTCCCATGACCAACATAAAATATTGGAAGCTTTTGGTGTGCATTGACCTTGAGTTTTGGAGTTGTAGTTCACCTATATCCAGAGAGCACCGTGAACTCAAACAATGTTGGCTCTGGACCAAACCTGGCAGGAATACTCAATATGCCCAAATGTGAACACTGGTGGAGTTTGGAGGAAACAGACCCTGACATTTGGGCGTTGTAGTTGCTGGGATTTATAGTTCACCTACAATCAAAGAGCATTCTGAACCCTACCAATAATAGAATTAGGCCAAACTTCCCACACAGAACCCCCACGACCAACAGAAAATACTGTGTTTTCTGATGGCCTTTGGTGACCCCTCTGACACCCCCTCGCGACCCTTCCAGGGGTCCCGACCCCCAGGTTGAGAAACGCTGATTTACAGCGTGCGGTTTTTATTGTCCTTGGAAAGATGGCAGGAAAACAAACTTCCAACTGCATTGGAAAGCCAGACAAGAAACCGTCTGGGTGCATTCGTATTCCGAGATTGCCTGGAAATATGTATCTGCCTCAAGATACAAGGATGTCTCGTCTATTTAATCAGATCAAAGACATGGTTTCCATTCAGAATTTTTTTTCCTCTCCCACTTTGGCTCCATGCATGAATTATCTGGAGAACCAACACTCCTTTAAAGTTCCTATCTTTTGCAAAGTCTCTCTCGTTGGAGACAGTAAAGCAATTATACCATTTCTGCTGGAAGTTAGAGGGTGAAATTATAATTTTCCCAGATAAGATCTCAATTTTATATGGTAGCTTGCTTGGGGACCCGACATTGCCCAGGTTATTACAAGAAGTTGGTTCCCCCCCCCCCAAATGCATAAGGTTGTGGGTGAACAACAACTCACATCATGCCGGGTTAAGCCCTGAAACTCCAGATTGGAAGTGTAGGTACTGGGATTTATAGTTCACCTGCAATCAATGAAAGCACTCTGAACTCCACCAACGATGGACCTGGACCAAACTTGGCACACAGATCCCTCATGATCAGCAAAAAATACTGGAGGTCTTTATTGAATACTGGTGGGTTTTGAGGGGAATTGGCCTGGACATTTTGGAGTTGTAAGTACTGGGATTTATAGTTCACCTGCAATCAATGAGCACTCTGAACGCCACCAAATATGGACTTGAACCAAACTTGGAATACAGAGCCCCCATGACCAACAAAAAAATACTGGAGGTCTTTGGGGAAAATTCTGGTGGGTTTTGAAGGGAATTGGCCTGGACATTTTGGAGTTGTAAGTACTGGGATTTATAGTTCACTTGCAATCAATGAACACCCTGAACTCCACCAAAGATGGATTAGGATCAAACTTGGCACACACACACCCCCACAACCAGCAAAAAATACTGGGGGTCTTTGGGGAAAATTCTGGTGGGTTTTGAAGGGAATTGCCTTGACATTTTGGAGTTGTAAGAACTGGGATTTATAGTTCACCTGCAATCAATGAATGCTCTGAAATCCACTTGAACCAAACTTGGAACACAGAGCCCCTATGACCAGCAAAAAATACTGGAGGTCTTTGGGGAAAATTCTGGTGGGTTTTGAAGGGAATTGGCCTGGACATTTTGGAGTTCTAAGTACTGGGATTTATAGTTCACCTTCAATCAATGAACACTCTGAAATCCACCAAAGATGGACTTGGACCAAACTTGGCACACAGAGCCCCCATGACCAGCAAAAAATACTGGAGGTCTTTGGGGAAAATTCTGGTGGGTTTTAAAGGGAATTGGCCTGGACATTTTGGAGTTGTAAATACTGGGATTTATAGTTCACCTGCAATCAATGAACACTCTGAACTCCACCAAAGATGGACTTGGATCATACTTGGCACATAGAGTCTCCACGACCAGCAAAAAATACTGGAGGTCTTTGGGGAAAATTCTGGTGGGTTTTGAAGGAAATTGGCCTGGGCATTTTGGAGTTGTAAGTACTGGGATTTATAGTTCACCTGCAATCAATGAACACTCTGAAATCCACCAAAGATGGACTTGGACCAAACTTGGCACACAGAGCCCCCATGACCAGCAAAAAATACTGGAGGTCTTTGGGGAAAATTCTGGTGGGTTTTGAAGGGAATTGGCCTGGACATTCTAGAGTTGTAAGTACTGGGATTTA